GCTAAATTATCAACTATATTATTAGAAGTTACATTCTACCATTACATGCATGTAATATGTACCTTGAGAAACTCTGTACAAACAACATGATTACATGTGTATTATGTACCCCAAAAACTGGGTATATTGGGATCACACGTATTACAAGACCAAAAACATAACATTTCCTTGAAATCTCTTGGTGCTTGAACATAATTTTCATTGTTATTATAAATAAACTTAAACATTATAAGAATCATCTTTGAAACCATGAAATGAACAATTTCTAATTAAAAAAAAGAAATGTTTTTGTTTATCTCTTTAAATATATCTTTTTTTACAAAACCAACAGGCTTGCCACCATAAAATGTTATCACCATGATTTATCAACTTTTGCAACATGTAGTATTAATCTTTTATGACTTGTAGAGGTTCATTCCAAAGGCCTTAAACTTATCAAGTTAATTTGTGGTATTTCATTTGGTAAATGGAATGTATATGCAAGTAAAACAAATCACTTGGACATTTAAAGACACAGAAAATGGCCGAGTATAACTCCAAGATGTGCTGTGTGCAACAATGAACGTTTGGAAAACGTAGGTTCATTATTAAACCCAGAAAATGGCCGAGTATAACTCCAAGATGTGCTGTGTGCAACAATGGACATTTGGAAAACGTAGGTTCATTATTAAACCCAGAAAATGAGCAAACGCTCAAATTTCAATACTTTTAGATAACTACATTTTAAAATCTAGAACACAAACTACCAGAAATCCCTGTAGTTTTACTATCAAAAATGATAAATTTTATGTAGAAAGAACTTGAAAGTATCATTATAATCCCGAGAAACGGCAGAGACATTACACAGTAGAAACTAAAACCATGACCATGCTAATCTATATCATTAATGTCCATAAAAACTACTTAGCTTTTATTTTTACTTTTTTAATGTTACTCCTTTAGGAGCCACTAAATATGTATAAGAAATTAGGTCAACCTGATTTAAGTTGAATTGTTTCTACTTATTGATAATAACAACTAAAACACACACCTGATCCATTAGGAAATTCAGTTGCATCCTCCATCTGTCTTAATTCTACCTCTATCTTTCTTATGCTAGGATATTTTAACTGCATAAGCTTCATGATCTTTTTTATAAATCCCACGTAATCTGGAAAAGAGAGCAAGAACTGGATTTGAAGAGTCAGAATTATTATTCCTTTTCTCTTAAATAACAAATGTGTTCTTGTACGATATACCACAAAGTTTCTTAAAAACCACTAGGCATACAGTTTAAGTAGAAGTAAATATATACCAGTTATATTGACCTTCAAATGTCTATATGTGCATGCCTTTAATCTCAACCCAGGCTCCAATTTGTAATTCTGAAAACTTATGAAAACATTATAGTATGTAAACCACATTATATCCACCACCATACCTGGTGCTGAGGAGACCTTTTGTCTAATAATGCAACTTAGTTTTTTAACCATCTTTAGCACAAAAATTATATTACTTCATTAGTAATTTCAAACATTAATTGCAGATTACTGCCACATATGTACTATAACAGAATCTCCTGTTGTGATTAAGTTGTCATTAACTAGTAGTTTATCTAAAAGTAGTTAGATTTTAAAAAATCAATCTAAAATATTAGTACAAAATTAAAATAGAAAGAAAATGGTCTGGAATGTGACTACAAATTTTTAATCAAGTATATTTTTTTACTACATTGTAAAAATATCATTTAAAAAGAATGTAAAAAGACACTGAGATACCTTTCGGGAATTCACATGGACTAACTAAATCTCGGAAGAAATCTTGTGTATCTCGCATTTTGTCAGTCTCCAAAACTTTGGTTTTGAACCAAAATCTAAGCTGCCGGCTTTCCTGAAGGAAAGCAAACACTCTTTATGTTCATTCAAGTATGTAAAATAACATTTCAAGAAGTTTTTAAAAATATTATTTAAAATTGTCTAAATAAGTGAAACATGTTCAAAACATTGTTTCTGAATAGGCCTAGTCTTTCAGGGATAGTTATGATCAGCTTTTCTGGTTCCCTCAATTTAAATGTGGAAACATATTTGAACAATAACTTACCTAATACGAAGCTACATTACTTGTTAATTCATAACTTTGTTCTTAGAAGCTACGTTCTAGTGAAACCATGCTGACTATCAAATAAACCTTAAACTTTGATAAATGGCTCTACAAGACATCTTTTATCAGGCGTTCAAAAGAAGTTACATTCCACCAGTACATGCTAAATCATTAGAAGTGTAGTGTATGGCTCTGTACAAACAACATGATTCCATGTGATTATTTTTATCACGATAATGTATATTACAGCTCATTGTGTATTCAGGTAACTTATTAACTGTGTTACACATGATAATGTATATAACAGCACACTGTGTATTCAGGTAACTTGTTAACTGTGTTACACACGGTATTGTATATTGTAGCACAGTGTGTATTCAGGTAACTTATTAACTGTGTTACACATGATAATGTATATAACAGCACACTGTGTATTCAGGTAACTTGTTAACTGTGTTACACACCATGGAAAGAGTCTTCATAATTTTAAGTGCTAGTATTAATAACATAAAAGTCCAACTACAAGATTAGTTTTCTAAATAGATATAATATCAAAAATAAACACGATCATGAGCTGAAGACTTGTAAAACATGTAGATCAACATATCTTATATTGTCGTACACACAATCAGTACTACACCGGTTCAAATTTAACTCTACACAGTTAGATTACTGAATATAGGGTAAATATGTTCAAAATACAAACTTATTGAAAAAGATTACTACTATTATAGGACTAGACATGTTCAAAACACAGTATCTCATCTTGAGCAGTAAAAACACAGATTGAAAGACTGATAAAAACACAAAATTTTAACCTTAGATAGTAATACTGCTGACTTAGGACTGAACATGTTCAAAACACAATTATGTCTTACACAATAAAAGTATAAGTTAGAAGATTATTAAACACAAAATTCAACCTATTATAATTACACAAGTAGCTCCATAATGGATTACTTTAACAAATTAACTTTATATTCTAATGAATGAAATATCAGTTACATACTAACAAGTAGGAAGATGCATGTTTTTAAACAGTTTCTTCCCAAGAGTCCAAGTTTTCACTAAAATAAATTCTCAGAAATTTCAGTTTTTTTATTCAGATGCCAAAGAAATTTCAATATTATCATTTTTTTTAATCTTTCAACAGTAATCTCTGTTCATTCTCCTGGTATATAGACCCAACTGTCTGTCAAACCATGAGGAATAACTTAGAAGCAACTAAATGTTGGTCAACCATGAGAACTAACTTAGAAACAACTGTCTGTCAACTATGAGGAATAACTTAGAAGCAACTAACTGTTGGTCAACCACAAGGACTAACTTAGAAACAACTGTCTGTCAACTATGAGGAATAACTTAGAAGCAACTAACTGTTGGTCAACCACAAGGACTAACTTAAAACAACTGTTGGTCAACCATGAGGAATAACTTATAAACAACTGTTGGTCAACCATGATGATTAACGTATAAACATCTGTTCATCAACCATGATGACTAACTTATAAACAACTGTTCATCAAACATGATGACTAACTTATAAACATCTGTTGGTCAACCATGATGATTAACGTATAAACATCTGTTCATCAACCATGATGACTAACTTATAAACAACTGTTGGTCAACCATGATGATTAATGTATAAACATCTGTTCATCAACCATGATGACTAACTTATAAACAACTGTTGGTCAACCATGAGGAATAACTTAGAAACATCTATTCATCAATCATGATGATTAACTCATAAACAACTGTTGGTCAACCATGAGGAATAACTTAGAAACATCTATTCATCAATCATGATGATTAACTTATAAACGTCTGTTCATCAACCATGATGACTAACTTATAAACATCTGTTCATCAACCATGATGACTAACTTATAAACGTCTGTTCATCAACCATGATGACTAACTTATAAACGTCTGTTCATCAACCATGATGACTAACTTATAAACAACTGTTGGTCAACCATGATGACTAACTTATAAACAACTGTTGGTCAACCATGATGACTAACTTATAAACATCTGTTCATCAACCATGATGACTAACTTATAAACATCTGTTCATCAACCATGATGATTAACTTATAAACATCTGTTCATCAACCATGATGACTAACTTATAAACATCTGTTCATCAACCATGATGATTAACTTAGAAACATCTGTTCATCAACCATGATGACTAACTTATAAACAACTGTTCATCAAACATGATGACTAACTTATAAACATCTGTTCATCAATCATGATGACTAACTTATAAACAACTGTTGGTCAACCATGAGGAATAACTTAGAAACAACTGTTGGTCAACCATAAGGAATAACTTGAAATTCCTGCAATTTGAATATCTGAGAATAAAAACAAATACTTGTAACAGTGAACAATGAGTTACTATTCACTTGAAGTATTGAATACAATAAAGAATAGACTTACCTAACTAACTCCTCAACAGACAAAGGATTTGGATATGCTGATTCTATGAACTCTAAAATCTTCTGCTCATCCAGTTTTCCAGAAGCATTGTTGGCACTTTCATCCAAGGGACCTATTTTCAATTATGAAAAAAAAATAAATGAATACTGTTTATAACATAGAACTAGCATGGTCTATATGTAAATACTATTACAAGCTTAGTGAAACTGTGTGTGTGTGTAGGTGTTTCATGCACGGCTCTGTTTCAATGGTCTTATCAATAACATTCCTAAAACAGCTCAAGATCATTATGGATTTAAAAACTTGCAGAGAAGTGGGATTTTGTCATAACTGACCAAATTAATGTTATATAGGTTAGACATGATCATAAATATTATATCTCAGTTTATATTAAACTAATTTATTAACTGTGTTACACACAATAATGTATATTACAGCTCATTGTGTATTCAGGTAACTTATTAACTGTGTTACACACGATAATGTATATTACAGCTCATTGTGTATTCAGGTAACTTATTAACTGTGTTACACATCTACAGAAAGTTTCTTGTTTCTTCATGACAATATGAAACTTCAACAGAAAGTTTCTTCATGACAATATGAAACTTCAACAGAAAGTTTCTTTCATGACAATATGAAACTTTTTCTGTGAAGTTTCATATTGTCA